ATAACCATTTTTTAAGCGAAGAACTTTTGTATGTGACAAACTCAGCTTCTCCCCCAAGCATCACGTTTCAGCAGCAGCGGAGGGTCAGCACCACGGAGTGGGCATCGGGTGAAGCATTCAGGAGGGAGCAGTGGGTACAGAGAGGAGCAGGATTATTTTCCATGGGCTGCAGTGACTGCCGGGGCAGGGCTTGCACAGGGTGCGTAAAGACCTGACGGGGAGGGGTCCGGGGTGCCACAAGCCCACAGGCCCTGGGCTCGAGCCACAGCACAGCAGCAGTTTGCCACCAGCCAGGGCGATCTGCGCTGCCCTTGGCAGGGACGCTCTCTTACAGCTGGACCCAACACCCCCACAGGTCACCGCAAGCACCCCGAGCCCCCCCAGCAGCGCCGTGTCCCTGCAGCCATCAGCATCCACGTCCTGTCCCGCTCACACAGCCTGCAAGGCACAGCAGCGAGCACAGACACCGGGCCAGGACATCACCAAATTCACGCTATTTCAGACCAAAAGTGTGGCAAAGCCCCGGGACCCCTCAGCACGTGCTTCCAGGCCACGCTCTGCCCTTCACCCCCCACCTCCCCCCGGGACACCCCCACCGACCGGGTGCCCTGCCCGGTGCCCGGGGCTGGGGGAGCACCGAGCACTCGCCCCTCACCCCAAAGCTGGGTGCTCTGCCCCTCCCCGCGATGGGAAGGGAGGGAGGGCAGCACCGGGGGAGCCCCGGGGGAGCCGCAGCGGTGCCGGGGGTGCCCCCCCGTGCCCACCACCCCCTGATCCGGCCCGGCCCTCACCTGCTGGCCGCAGCCCCAGGGAGCAACCGGAGCCCGACGGCTGCGCCCCGCTCCTGGCCCCGCTCCCGGTGCCGCTGCCCCCGTGCGGAACGGGCGGCGGCTCCTCCCCGCCGGGGGTGCCCGGGGCCGGGCGGGGCCGCGCACGGTCGCAGCCGCCCCCGGGCTGGGAGGGCTCCGGCCCCCGAACCCCGGCACCCAGCACCCGGCCCCGGCCCCCCCAACGCGCTCCCGGCCCCCTCACCCCCCAGGACGAGGCGGGGGGCAGAGCGCTGAGGACACCTCGGGCAGGACCCCGATGCTCTCCGTTACGAGAAGGAATCGCCACGAGCAGCCCGGGCTGCAAACAGCCCACGCCGCCTTTTTCCACCCGAGCTGTCACGCTTTAACCCAAAACCATGTGAACATCGCACAGCGCCCGCCACGGTCCCAGGGCCTCCTCCACGCACAGCAAAGCTCTCTCCAGAAGTGCTCTTGGACTGTCCCAGGCACAGGAAACCTTCCCTTTGTGCATTTTTTAGCTGGCGTCCACGTAAAGCTCTTACCAGAGAAAGCCCCGCACAGCCAAACCCTTCTCCCAGTTTGCCCTGTCCGTTCCCACGTTAATTTCTGGCGGTACCCACACTCACAGCTCCCCTCGCCATCCTTTGGGTCTCATGCAAGCGACTCAGATGCTGCAGACACACGCGGACTTCCTTGCCTGCAATTTCTTTCCAGCGTGTCTCAATCGCTCCCTGCTGCCCTGGGAGGAACTTGACCACGCTGGGCTCACGGCAGCCTCGCTGCCACAGCCGGGGCCTTTCCCCAGCTCGCTCCCCACACAGGAGCAGCCCCCCCTCCAGCAGCTCTTCCCCTCTGCCCTTCAGAGAAATCGCCCACTCCTTGACGGGACCCTGCTGCTCAGAGGGGGAATCTGCATTTTGTTAGCTACAGGAAACGGAAAAACTTCCAGACCCTGCAATGGAAGCCCCCAAAGGACCAGGGGATGCGATGGGGGATGGGAGTCTCAGCTTACTGCAGCGCCTGCTGCTTTTTGGAGCATTTTATAGGCAGAAGGGGAACGAGGGCAAGAAACGGCTTGGTTTCACAGGCCGGAGGTGCCTCTCGCTTCTGACAAATAGTTTCCTTGTGATCATTTATTGGAAAAAGTGAATTGTGGCCAAGTTGATTTTGCTTTTCTTTCAGAGCACTTTTTCTCACTTTGTCTCACGTTGTTTCTCAGGAGCAGCCCCTGCGGCACGTGGCAGCGGGCTGCCCTTCAGCCTGGGAAGGAGAGGGTGGCTGGGAAGGCACGGGTTTATTCTGCACTGTTTGCTTTTTAGCCTAGAGAGCAGAAAGGTGACAGGAGAACAAACTGGGAGCGTTTCGCATTGCTGTAGGTCAAGATAAAAGCAGGAGCCCTTTGCACGTCCGTCCCAGCCCCGTGCTGGCTGCTGTTGGTGACGCGGGGCTGAGGGTGCAGCCAGCAGGGCGCTGATCCTGGGGAGCTGCCTGGTGGGGCAGGGGCAGCGAGGGCAGCGCTAGGACAGCACTGAAGCACCAGTCATTGAGGCAGCAGGAATTGGCACCTACCGCTGAATACACGGGTATCGATCCCCAGGGGACAGACAGCAGGGCACGACAGAGGCTGCAGACCCCAGCTGCGCCCGGAGGCCTAATTACAAAGGCTGTCGCACCAACCCACCTCCTCGCAGAAATTAAAGCAATATGGACAAACACGTATCAGAGAGCTCCGCCGTGCAAAAATAACCTCGAGTTCACAAGGAGGCCACAGAGAAAATGCTGGAGATTGCATCTCCAGCCAGAGCTGGAGAAAAGAGCTGATGGAAAGAAACACAAACTATTTGTTTTCGCTCACACTGCCCCGGCAGGGTGATTTTTGGTGTGTACGTTCTCATTTAGGAAGTAACTCTCTACTTTCCAAGACATTAGAACAGATCACAAAGCATCTCATGCTACCAGGGGGAGGGCTGACCCCGGTGAGAGGAGAGCGCCCAGGAGCGAGGCCACGGAGGCTGCAGGGGATGGAGCATCAGGGGCGAGGAGCAGCCCCTATTCCTTTCCCTTTCCCTTTCCCTTTCCCTTTCCCTTTGGAGAGGGCCGAGCACCCCCAGCACAGCCGTCAGAGCGCAGAGCTGGGCAGCACCATGAGTGCTGTCAGGATGTGGCCCCGTGCAGGCTCCCTGGGGCGGGTTGGAAGCTGCTTTCTGAGCGGGGCAGCGCTTCAGTGCGGCTCCACAGCCCAGCCCAGGGCTGACCCATGGGCAGGCAGGGACGGGAAGGGGAAATGAAGATTGCCTCTCATCACATGGCACGCCAAATCCTCCAGTAATCACATTCAGTTCAGTTTTTTGCTTCCTACCACTTCACTTGTAACCCAGGCTCACTGCCACATCTCCCACCACGGAGCAGGCGGTGATTTCTCAGAGTTTCACGAGTTCCTGGAACGGGGTCACCGCAGCCAGCCCGGGAGCCCCGTCCCACCCCGGCACTGCTCCGCGCGCTCCCCGCAGCTGCCACCCTCCTGTCACGCAGGCGTCCCTCTCCTCCCGCCTGCCAGCGGTGGCAAAAAGCCAGGTCCCAGCCTCCCCCGGTGCCCCAAAGCACAGCCCCACCGGGCACGGGGCACAAGGTGACCTGTGAGCAGGAGGGACGCGCACCCCGGGCACCAGAGCTGCAGGCTGGGGCCAGCAGCAGGAGGAGGAGGAGGAGGAGGAGAACAGGAGGAGGGTGATGCTGCCCCGTGCCCACACCACATGCGGGCACCAGTCGGGTGAGAAACGACAGCCTCACGCCTGAAGCTCCAAATCAGCAGAACCCACTCAGGATTCTTTGTGCAAAGCAAGCTTGGGTAGAAAAAGAATAACTCAGCTGTGACAACACATCAACAAGGGCTAAATTTAGCAGCTTGTTTCTGGAGATCCAGATGCTGGGTAAATACAACCTTATTATTTCACAAAGGGGCAAAAGTTCAGCAGAATCCCCAGTGCTGCTTTTCCCTGTTGTTGCACAATGCCCAGTGGAAGGAGCCCTCGTTGGAAATATTGTATCATCATCAGGGCCTGACACACTTTGTGAAGGTATTTAAGGAAGCTGCCAGCTCAGTCCTCATCTCCCAGCAGTCAGACCGAGGCCACTGCTTAACGACATCTGCAGAGCGTGCTCCCAGACCTGCGTGTGGGGACGCCCGATGCTGCTGTCAACAGGAATTTATCCGGAGGGCGCAATCTCAGCGCGCATGGCGTGTGCGCAAGCCTTTCCTTTCTGCTTCGAGCAGAACAAAGCGTGGAAAGTCCAGCTGAAGGTCAGAAAGGAAGCGGGGAGCCAGGCCAGCAGTGAGGAGCTGGGCGCTCAGTGGGACTTGTCTGGGGGCACGGGCTCGGTGCCAAGCAGCGCGGTGCCCCCGCGCGGGGCAGACCCCGTGGCAGAGCGCCCTGCAGCACACCCAGCAGGGGCACAGGGCTGGGGGCTCTGAAACTCAGGGCAGCGTGGACCCAAGTCCTTACCAGGAAACATTTGGTTTTCATAGGTCTGAAACGACCTATGAAAAAGCCAAGGGAAAAAACACAGCCTCCAAACATTGTTCCCAGATGAGTTTTAGCCACGGATGTGATCTGGCGAAGTCTTCCCTGCCCCTTCCCTCGCACAGGGCTCTCTAACCCCACTAACAAGCTCCTGACACTCACGCTGCTAATCTCTCCCTGAAAGGGAAGGGAGACCACCCAGGCTCACCTCCGGAGCTCCTTCACAAAGCACCTTTTGTTGCCCAGGGTTTTCCTGTGCGCCCGGGCTCCTGCAGCAGCCGGGGCGCGGAGCTCACCCCTCGGCGGACGCAAAGCCAGGGCAGGTCCCTGCCCGTGGTTCGGAGCAGCACCGCAGGGATCCCCCGGCACATCCCGTGGGCACCGCATTTCCCATTGCGTGCTGACACCGCTCGGCTCAGCAGCACAGCCTGCACCGCTCCTCCCCTGCCCTGCCACGGCTGCGGGTCCTGCTGGCACCCCCTGCCCAAGGGACCTGGTCCCTGCTGGCACCCCCTGCCCGAGGTTGCCCGTGCTGCTCGCATGGAACATCAGGGTTTGGGGGAAAATTACACTGCTGGCAGAAGGAAGCAGGAGCCCCAGCAGAGGCTGGTCCTTTCCTTTCTTCTCATGACCCTGCCCGACCCACAAGGAGAGCATTCCTGCCCAGAGAAACGTTGTCTCAGCTTACCTGCATCTTTTTTATCTTCTAGCAGCGAGAAACACTGTGAAAAGAAAGGAAAAAAATAAATCATTTTGTTATCTTTTTAATTCAAGTATTCTTAGATTCCTACAGTTTGTGTTCTTCATGCAATCCAGCTCGGTCCCCAGCAAGACTGCCAGGGACGGGGCAAGTGGACAGCCCAGGGCCATCAGATCCGCACCAAGGGACCGTGATGGGGATTAGGAGGACGCGGCTGTCCCCACGCGTGCAGACCCCGGTGCTGTGCCACAGTGCTGCAGGTGGTGCCGTGAGCTGCCCACACAGCACACATCAAGCATCACACCCGGCTCCGCTGCTGCCCCCACAGCCCCTGCACAGCCCTCTGGCCACAGGGCTCTGCTCCTCCTCCTCCTCCTCCCCGGGGGCCTGAGGCCCGGAGGCTGGAGCAGGCAGAGCTGAAGGACGCGTTTTCTGCAGCCCAGTCCCCTCTGGCCACCCCTCGCCACGTGCCCCAGCCCCTCCTCTCTGCAGCTCGGGCTCTGGTTGCCCACACCCGCAGCCCTCCCGTGCGGACACACATCCTACGGGCTTTGGGCGAAAGGCACCACCACGGTGCACGCAGCACAACTGCTTCTCCAAGACAAATCTCAGAAGAATGCCAGCCTCACCCCTGAGGGCTCAGCGAGCAGCTGTCGCAGGAATCAGCTGCGTTGGGGTCTTTCTCCAGAACAGAATGGAGAGGAAGGCATCGCCGTCCCACGGGAGGAGCCTGCAGCAGCTCCGCTGGAGAGCAGCTCTGGTAGAGGCATGAGAAACAGCTGGAGCAGAGGAAGAGAGGTCCCAGGACATCTGGCCCCTGCCCCAGGGTGCATTCATGCAGGAACCTTTTTTCCTTTAAGCCACCACATGGGAATTTCGGCAGAGGCTGCAGCCCAGCAAGCCCTAACCCTGGAGCCCAAGGCCCCGAACCAGAGCGCTCGCTCCCTCTCAGGGGCCCTTCTCCTCCTCCCCATATCCAACCTTACTTCCACCACGTGCCCTGCGTTTCCCACACTGAAGGAAGAGGCCACTGCAGGTCGGTGGGACTTGAGCAGCGTGTGAAGGAAGCTGCTGGGCCTCAGCCCCCGTGCCGGTGGCTCTCTGGGCACTGGACAGAAAAAGCAGCACCGGGTCGATGCCTGCACCGAGCTGGGGCTGCAGCAGGGGAGGCACCGGGTGCAGGACCCCAAATGTGCCCTCGGTACCTTTGTGGCTGCGGGTGGGAGGGGAGCTGCAGGAGCTCGGTGCCATATGCGGCACACGGGGAGCTGGAGAGCGTCCGCGCTGGGTGGCAAGGTGATCCCCAGGACCTCTCTCGTATCCACCACCAGCAGCTCCCCAGACATCAGCCCCGCAGCCCCCGGGGAGGCAGGCACCCACGGAGGTGCTGGTCAGAAAAGCCAAAGGAGGGAGGAGAGAAAAGGCCCCATCTGAAGGTAACGCCGGGGAGCTTCCTCCCCTTCCCGTGGTGTCCCACCCTCAACACCTTCTGCTTCCCACAAAACCTTCCACCCGGCCACGGCCCCACCTCGTTTAACCCGGGAAGCTTTAATCCCACTGACAGAGCCCTGCGCATTTCTCTGCCTTCAGGAAATTCTTCTGCCTCCCGTAGCGAGTAGCTGAGCAACACAGGCACAGGGAGGGAAAAAAAAAGGAGGAAAAAAGGCCAAAGCAGAGCCCTCACCCGCAACATCCCCATTGCATTTGGAACACGGAGCAGCCACGTCCTCGGGCCCTGCGAGCACCGAACACCCCCGGGCAGCTCTCAGCCCAGCTGAGCAGACCAGGAACACCGCTGCCGGGCTGTGAGCCCCCTGCGCCCCCCGCCTCTGTGCTCCTGGGGAGCTCCCACCCCAGCACCACTCACTGCCAGGGCAGCTCCGTGCTGCTTACACCTCTCCGTGAGGATTTTCCTTTCCCCACAGCAGGTAGCTGGGGGCAGCAAGGACAGGAGGTGTCCCACAGCGACCCCCAGGTGCCACCCCAGCCGGGCAATGGGAGCCTTCATCGGGCACAAGGCTGCGGGTGGGTGCTGGGTGGGCCCAGCACTGAGGGATGGAGCTGGGATGGAGCCGGGATGGAGCTGGGACACGCTGCAGGGGACGCGCCCTGGTCCCTGCCACAGCATCTCTGCCAGCACGATGATGATGACAACAGCTTGCAGGGACAAGGAGGGTTAACGAGGATGTGCTAAGCTCTCTGGAGACAGCAGGGACAAGACAGCTATTAATATTATTAATGAATTGCACAAATGTTATTTTTAGACTTAACTATTCTGAGCTTTGTATTGAAACCCCCGGGGAAGAGCCTGCATTCCACAGGCGCTTCACCCCTGCAGACCCTCGCCTGCTGCAGTGATTTTTGTACTTTTTCCAACCTGGTGCTAACGGTACCCCCAAAACCTACCCCCCACACCTCACACAGGCTGTGACGCAACAGAACACAACAGGCAGGGATGGGCTAACAGAGCTTTGTGCTTTAAGCCCAGATGAAAAATGCCAGATGCCACGGAACGACTGCTGCAGGAAATTAAAACCCGGGGCCTCCGGCCCCCATCCTTGCTCCGCCATCCCGCTCTCAGCCGCCCTGCGTTCAGGCTGGCATGGCCAGAGGCAAAAACAGCCCCGTGCATGGCCCCGCTGGCACAACCCAGGCCTCCAGGTGAGCTCCTTGCATGCAGCAGGACAGCCCCAGGGCTGCAGGCACGGACCAGGGCTCCCCATGGAAGCAGGGCCGGTGCCACACGCGTGTGCACAAAGAGGCGTGCGCTGCCCTCCTGCAGCCACGACCCCATGGACAGGCAGGACCTGACCCAGGCGGAGGAAAGGTTTCTGGCCGCGAGTGCTCAAGTTAAGGAGAGGGAAGAGATTTGTTCTACTTATCAATAACAGCTCAGAAGCAGCTGCCTACCAAAAAATTAGGGAAGGGGGAAGGAATGCACCTCGGGATTACAGCAGAGAGGGATCGCTTGATATTGCCAGCGGTTTGCAACGAGCCTGGACATGGGGAGAACGGAGGGAGAGGAACTCGAACCTTCTGCTGCCACGTCCCGCAGACCCACAGCGGGCAGGGAAGGCACCGAGCCAGCAGCACACACACACACCCAGCACCCAGTGGCACCGCTGAGCCAGTCCCCATGGGGCACATCCCAAACCCTCCTCGCCCCGGGTGTCACGGGCACGAGGTCTCCCCATGGCACGCACCGGGCAGCACCGGTGCCACCTCCCCGCTCTGTCCCGGCCTGGCCTTGGGGCAGCTCTCCCTGGGGACCAGCGGGGAGCGCGCCCCCGGCGCTGCGTAAAGGGCAGCTGCTTACCTTGGCTCTTTTGAAGCAAGCCCAGAAAAAATCCAGCAGGGGCATGATGTGCCGGCTGCCCGGGGCAGGCGCGGCGCTCGCCGGGCGCTAGAGCGCGGGGAGACCCCCGGGCCCGGGGCGAGCTTGGCGCGGAGCACCCATGGGTGCCGGTGCGGCAGAGCCGCGGGCAGGCAGCGGCTGCGGGCAGGGCTCGGCGCAGGCAGCCGGGGGAGGGCCGGGCAGGGAGCCCTGCCCGCGGGGGCGGGACGCCGATTCAAACCCTGCACCGTTATGCAGTTGGTCGCGGATCGCGATGAAATTCCCCGAAGGATGCGGGTTTGAAAAGCCGCCGGCGGTGTTTGCGCCGGGGGGAGAGGGAAAAGGAACGGCCCCGGAGCCACCGCTGTCAAAGGCGCACGGAGGGCGTTGGAAACCCAACCCCAGCTGGTTTCGATTTTCACTCCGGCCCCGGCTCCAGCTCGTTAGGAGCAGTCACGGAGGCGCTCGCAGAGGGCTCCCAGCAGCTCTGCCCCCCCCGGGACAAACCTTCCCCAGCGCCCTGGGGGTGCTTCCCTGGGTCCCCTGCAAGAGGGGCCCCGCGGTGAGCCTGCGGCAGCCACCCCAGCTGGGAGAAAACTGGGGGGGGGGGAAGAAAAAAACAGTCACCAAACATGGCCCGGCCATTCATTTTGACTCTATTCACAGCTATTCACAGCTCCTTGTCTTCCTCCTGCAAACATTTGTGTAAGCTTAGCATTTGTTTGCAAGAAAGACCATAATAAAAGGAAGTGCCACAAAGTCCTGTGCAAGCAGTCGGGCGTTGGGTACACAGCCTGCAGGCTGGAATAAGCCTTCGTGTGCACACCAGGAAAAAAACACCGGGTTGTGATTTATGAGATTATTTCAGAACAAGCAAGGCCGGGCTGACAGCAGGGCTCAGGCACCCGGATCTCACCGCGGGACAGCGGGGGGACCCAGCCCCCCGTGACAAGCCACCGATTTTAGCACAGCCCCGGCAGCCTCCCACCTGCCCCTCGCCGGCTCCCCAGAGCACCCCAGAGCTTCCCAGTGCTTCCCGTGGGATTTCCCACAGGAGCAGGGGATCCTGCATCCTGGGTGCCTGCAAAGCGCTCTGCCAGGCCAGGAGGTGGGTGGGGGCACGAATGTGGGGGTACCCGGCTCCCCTGCCCATCTGCAGGGGTTTGGTGCAGACACATCCATCGCTTCCTTCGCAGCCCGTGCCGGGCGCGAGGCCAGCTCTCACAGGAAGGATGCCTGGAGGGGAGCAGAGCTCTCTGGGCTCCCTTTTGTCTGCTTTCCTCTCGGATCTGTCACTCTTTCCAGCAGGGCTCTCGGGCCAGGGGCCACGCTGTGCACCACAACCAGTGCCCAGTTCTGCGCACACAGCGCACCGGGTGGCAAACAGGCTGCTGGAAGTTGCTCTCAAGACAGCAATGGAGGAACCCTCAAAAATAAATAAATAAATAAATAAATAAATAAAAATAAATAAATAAATAATAATAATAACAGAAAAAGTCCCTCCAGAAAGCGTGACAGCCACGCAGCTTTGAGCTCTGTGCTGCCAGAGCAGTGGCACAGCCAGCAGCTCACTTCACACTTTGCTCTGTGGCATGAAGTCCTCTTCCCACTTCCTCCAGAAAAAAAATAGAAGTGAGTGCAAACACGAGAAAGCTGTCTCCTTCCCAGGGCCCGGAGACAAACCACGG